CAGGAAAAGATGCTTCAGGAAGGTGTTTTTCGGCCTCACGCACAGAGCATGTATGCCTCACTGTCATTCCAATGGTGGTTAAGGATTGACCGCGATGAAATAGGGATTATTAACGAACTCAATCGTGAAAGTGCTCTGATGGGGTGGAAGAATTGATCTTATTGCGTGCCTTGGTGCCCGTTTCAGTGGTGTTATGCCTAGGACCACCCACCGGCGCAGTTCGGCTTTGGTGGGAGCACCGTATGGTGCATAGCTAAGATTATGCTAGACCGAAAACTGTGAATTCCTTTGACCAAACTCACTCTAACATCGCAGGGGAGTCCATAGGTCCACTAAAATGGGACTTGTGATTCAAATCGAACTAGCAAGAGGAGGAAGCTAAAGTGTGAAATGGCCTGCAAACCGAAAACGACCCACTCGCCTTCCACTCACTCTTTTCTACTCTTTTAGCTCAACAGTGGGTGACGCATTAAGAACCTTTCTCACTAGTTTTCCACATTTTTCGGTCATGGCCGTCAGGCTTTCTGACAGAAGCTCGTCTATTTTCTGTATTTATGCTTCCGGGGGGTTTTCTTAGTAGCCTTTGTGTTCTTCACTTTTTACTCGAAAGCAGATGTGTCTTATCTGGGAAATTTCCGATGATTCTTCTGCTTCTTCCTTCACTATGGATCGCTCAAATTCTTCACCGGTGCTTGAATTGCAATCCCGAAATGTGCTGCTGTATGCATTTCTCGTTTTGGAATAATACTGACCTATTGAAGTCGGAGGTGGTGTATTGGCAAATGGCGCGCTTCCACACGCGCAGCCCTGAACTGAAATCCCGGATCGGCTCGAGCTCAGGCCAACCAAGCCTTCGGAGCAGCGAAGTAGGTCCGGAATGGTAAGCACACTGACTTGTACATCGGTTGGCCCACATGTCATTGGATATGGAAGTAGGATGTGTGCCGACCCCAAAAGGGGTTGATCAAGAGTTTAAGGCTTTTTATTGCCATGACCGTTCAGTTGGCTTGACTGTTAGGAAAAAATGTCCTTCAAAAAGGCGAAAGTAGGTATCGTATTTACTCCTATCTAGGAGGGCTTTATGATGTGGGAAGTGTTTACCAAAGGTGCCAATGTGTTGGTAAGTTTTATTCTATCGTATTTTCCTATCGCTACATTTCTTTCATGACTACTATGGTTATTGTTTCGCTCGACAGTTCTTTATTTCTCCGTTGAAACAGTTTTGCTTTCCAAGTCACACAGTTGGTAATTAGTTGGTGCGCTTGCAGACGTGCAGCGCTAAACATTCGCTATCGCTTGAACCTTTTTTGAGAGCACCATTTGGAATTTATGTCTTCTTCTTGATGACTGATGGAGGAGATCTTGGTAGTTCTCACTACTCTTCTCTTTCTTTTCAGTTCCAGATATTTTCTATTTTTCTATACTATTTCTTGAACATAGTGCCATATTCTGCTCATACCCCTGAATTGAATCGGGGCATTTTAGTTACCTTTTTATGAGTGACCTGGAGGACTGCGCATCACTTTCTTTGGTTCTTTGATTTCTTTTAATTTGTTGCCGTTTGGTGACGCACTCTGTAAATGTCCAAGGTCGTCGTCAGTTTTCATTTATTGTTTGCTTTCCTTGTTCGACTTCTTGCGACACATCGGATCAATCAACACTCCTGTTCAAACAGCGCATCGAATAGACTTCGACTAGTGTTTGCCAAAAATTGAATCGATTATGACATCTCTGCCGGAAGTGAACTTTATGGTGCAATGCTTCCCCCCCCCCTCTCCGCTTCATCACACCGCAGTTTCTTCCCTTTAGACCAGTCACGATCGAACATCACTGAACCAAGGCCACCGCGCAGGCTCTTCTCTCTATTTCCTACCCTCTTACCAGCGTCTTGCGTGAGGGTGGAGATTCTAGCTTCAGCGGTCTTTTTATATTGTGGAGGACGAAATCCAACGCGGAATATGAAAAGGATGGCGAAGGTGGTGTAGTGGCAACTAGCTCGCTCACCACGCGCTCGGTCCGGGGATGAAATCCCGCACCGGCTTCCGCGCAGGCCAATCAAGCCCTTCTGTCCCCTGAGGAGGATAAATCGGTACCAGACGTGTATGATAG